AGACCCCATGTTAACTAAGAGCATTCCCCTCATTTCTCACATTTGCCAGGCTTATTAGTTTCTCAAGCTTGCTAGCCCAAAAGCTCAGTACTATCTGTATTTAGGACAGCATCTATGTGGCTGGAATTCAGCAAATGTAGAAAAATAAAGATAATTACTTGTAGAGCAAGTTCAAGAGTTCCTTAATATAATATCAAGTATTTCCACTTGTCAAGTGACAGAATCTTTTACATAGAGGCAGCCTAACACAGGAGAGTAGAACAAGATAGACATCATCTAGGCTTCTCTGCATAAAGTGGTGTGACCCTGAGTAAGTCAGTACCTTCACCTAAATCTGACATTCTCTGCAAAATGCCAATGGTTGTAAAGCTATATCATTCCAAGGCTGTGATGAGGATCAGAGGAAAGAGTGAGCAGGAACACACTTTGTTAACTAGTAAATGTCCTGCAATCTTTGCAACTGCTTTACTTACGGAGAAGCAGTAGTTTCACGCTTCTCAGGGACCAGTGAACTCACAGCCTTGAACAGGCAGTGTACGTCCTCTGTTCCAGCCCTTCTCTGGTAGTCTGAGGGTCCTTCTTGGACCCCACTGGGAGACCTCAGGAGGTTACCCATAAGGTAAGTCTTGAGCAAATGATAACAAATGATGTCTTGAGAAGTGATAGATGATCTACATTTCTCCATGATGTCTCCTGTACTAGAGCCTGTTACTGGAACTTGAAATACCCACCTTCAAACCTTCCCATCTCATAATTTGGCAAAGCCTTTTTGGAGAGAGTTTGACAAAATATACCAAGAACTTTACAAATGTTCAGTCTTTGATTTTGCAATTCTACTCCTAGGAATTTATCTTAAGGAAATATTAGCATGTGTGATATTTAAAACAGTGACTGATTAGAAATAATTTAACTACCTACCACCACAAGATTAAATAAATTATATTACAGTCAATACAGCTACTAAAAATTAGATTATAAGAGAATATTTAATGATGTTGAAATGTGCATAACATATGAAGTGAAAAGAAGCAGGTCACCAAACTGCACTATTCTGATTGTATTAAACACACCTGCCCACACACCTGCACATCTGGTTTTTAATCCTGGATTTGTTACTTTCTAAAGCTGCAGTCATGACCAAATTACTTAATGTTTTTGCATTTTAGTTTTCTGATCGATGACATGGGGACAACAAAAGTACTTGCTACACAGGGTCACATGAGGCCGAAATAATACAGATAAAGTGCTGTGTACAGTGCCTGGCGCTGGTGAACACCCAATAAGTAGTGGCCAGTAGCAGTAGCAGTGGGAGAGCCCTGCATTCTGCTGCACTCTCCCCCTGTGACATCAGCACAGGCAGAGGGTCTTTCTGATTTGTGGCTGTCTTCTTGCAGAGTACAGAAGGGAAGTTGGGAGGGGGAAGTTGAGGACCCAGGGGCCAGAGCTGGAGGGTACCCTCTTCCCATCTGGCTGGATCAGCCCTGCCAAGAGTCCTGTGCCCTGAGTGGGGAGAAGTGATATTCTTTTGTATCCTGATAAAATCCTCATGAGAAAAAAAGGTCCCCCTCTTTAAGTTTTTTGACATATGATGTTCAGAGTAGCCCCATGCCAGCTGCTGGAGGAACAACATATTCTAATTTCCTGACTTGTACATAGTAAAGTTGCATTGTATTGACAGAGCCTTGCATTTAATTTCCTTAGCTTTTTAGACACAAACAAAGCATTCCTAACCAGAGATTGGAAATAAAAGGGAATAACTGCACAATGGAATACACATGCTGATTTGAATATGTCATTGCATCTCTTAAATACTCATTAAAATAAATGCATGTAACAATGGAAATATTTTTGCTTCCAAAGACATGCAGCAGCAATATAATCATATTTAGAAAGTATAAAGAAAGTCATCCTTTTTTTTTTTTTAAAGATTTTATTTATTTATTTGACAGACAGAGATCACAAGTAGGCAGAGAGGGAGGCAGAGAGAGAGGGGGAAGCAGGCTCCCTGCTGAGCAGAAAGCCCGATTCGATTCGGGGCTCAATCCCAAGACCCTGGGATCATGACCTGAGCCGAAGGCAGAGGCTTTAACCCACTGAGCCACCCAGGTGCCCTGAGAAAGTCATCCTTTTTTTAACCCATGCCACACTATATTCCCTTATTTATATTATTATGTCAAGGAATTCTGTCAAACTTAGCAAAAGACAGCATCCTTTCAAAAAATTAAACAAACATGCTTAACTTTCAATTTAAAAAAAAAAGAAGCTATTTCTAGCAACACAGTGGGGGAAAGTCACAAAGAATAGTTCAAAGCCAGTAAGACACTACTTAAAAACATTTAGCTTATTTACAAATATCCCAACCAAACTGGGGATTACTCTATCCTGAAAAATATTCCTTCTGGCTTTCCAACAAGCAAAATTCATTTCTATTTGGACAGTTTCCTCTTTAGTTTTTTCCTGTCTTTTTTCACCTATCATTTGTTATATATTTGTAAAGATGTCTAAGAAATTTGCTTACAGTCTAACTTAAGGATAATTCTTTATGGTGATTTGCAAATTGAAGTCATTCATTATAGAGTCAGTCTATCTGAAAATTACAGTGCAAATAAAAGCAACTTGTAGCTAATGGTTAGAGGAAATTTTTGTGTGATTTTTAAATTTTATGGGTTTTACACAGTGCTACGAAATCAGCGTGTGCTTAATAAATACATGTTAGATAAGTAATGGGATGGCAAGAGAGAAGGTGAAGAAGTCATAGCAAAAACTATCAAACCACCACTTTTCTAAGCTATCCATGTGCTAAAATGGAAACCACTACATTAGGGTCAGAAAGAATAATGGTCTTTAACTTCTATAAGAAGCATTGAATGGTTAAATTACTGTTACAGGTTGAATTGTGCCCTCCCAAAGATATGCTGAATCCCTAAACCCCAGTACCTCAGAATGTGTCCTTATTTGGAAGCAGGGTTGTTGAAGATATAATTAGTTAGGATACAGTTATATTGGAGTAGGATGGACCCTTAATCCAGTATGACTGGAGTCCTTACAAGAAGATGGTCATTTAAAGACACAGACAAAGAAAATGCTATCTGATTGGAGCCATGCAACTGTGAGCCAAGGAACACAAAAATTGCCAGCAGACTACCAGAAGTCAGGAAGAGGCAAGGAAGGACTGACTCTCCTACAGGTTTCAGAAGGAGCATTGCCTATCAACACCCTGACTTAAGACTTCTGGCCCCCAGATTGTGAGAAAATACATTTCTGTTGTTTTAAGCCACCCAGTTTGTGGTACTCTGTTAGGGAAGCCCTAGAAAACTAATCCAATCACTTTATTTCATTTTCTTTTACAAGGTCAGTTTATATTTTTTAATTCATAAAATCAGGCATGTTTGTAGAAGGAATTTGTAGAACCACATGTCTTTGAAGAAGGAAAAAATATCATTCAGTTTTGCTGGCCAAAAGGTATCAAAATCTGATGCATTTCTCCCCAATTTTATCTCTGAATAGTTTTTAGCTTTCATGCAGCTATGACTATAATCTCATACCAACTTATAGTGATATTTTCAATTAGCCCAATAACATACATTTCTATATTATTACAAACTTTTGGTAAACATCTTTGAAGTTTGTCAATATAAACAGTGTTGCCCAGATTATTTTTGGGCAACTTTATTTTATTATTCTACTATTTTCATTTTTTTTTCATTCTTTTGGATCTGACTCTAAAAATTAAAAATGACCATCTCATCAATTCTCTCTATATTCTGTTGTGAGAGAAATAGGAGGTAGATTATTTAGGATTATTTAGTAAAAAAACAGGCCATCAAACAGACCCTAATAGACCGTGGTCATAATTAAGACAGGAATTCTCAGATCTATATATAAGAGGTAGTATGAGAATGAAGCATTTGATAATTAGTGAACCGGTTAGTGACTACTTAGTCTTATGACACCAGGCTGTGACAGTATAGACTCTGGTAGAACCAGAATCTTATTTCCTGATTCCCACTCCTGCATTATTTTCACTTAGTTCATGGCCATGATTTAAAAACGCCTTAAGAGCTGCTTCGTTTTGAGCTCAGAAAAATCTAACAGGTATCTGTATCATGTGATCATAGAACTCTTGGTTCTAAGTATACTTTAGCTTATGATTTGCAAACTTTTTGGAAATCTTATCTTCATAAACTGTTACTCATATTCCCCATTCAAAAAACAAAGAAAAGCAGAACCTGTGGGATGGCAGGGAGGGCCAGGCAACAAGCTCAGCAAGTCCTATTACCAACTCCCTAGTCCTCCCTTAGGATCCAGGCAGCCCCCTGAACTGCCTCCAGGGAACCCTAGAGCTCACGGGATTACCTTTTCTAAAAGAGAACACATCATCTAGTTTTTCCTCTACTCTGTGTGTAAAATGGCTAGGGAGAAAGGGAGTTTCTTAAGGTCTGTTGTGTGTAAAGAATTAAGTTATGGAAAACAGCTTTTCAATTTTTCCTAGGCCTAGTTCTCTCTTCTGAATGACTGTTTTGTTCCAAGTTCCTGGAAATTTCAAAATGGCTGTTGACATTTACAAGTTGGCTTATGATGGGGCCATATCCAGAGTATTCTCTCTTCAATTCCTCTTGCCATCTTTAGTGCTCCACTTCCTCTGTATTTTCTCCTCTCTATATAACTGAAAAGCTAAATTATGAATTCTAAAGATCATTTTTATGTAGCACTTCTCCACAAGTACTATTATAAATTTGAATACATGAAGGCAGCTAAATAATGGTAAGTTCGAATGCAATAAAAGATGTATTTCTGTGAGAATAAGTGGTCTTTCCTTTTTGTGACTCTGAGTTGCATTTCTGGGAGTGATAAAGACTTTTTGCTGATCCAGACACATTTACACTTTCTTGATCAACTCTCCGTCTTCCCAACACCAGGGTCCCCACTCCCAACTGACCTCATGGAGCTGCCCATAGCCAAGAATTAGGACAATTCCAGGTGATCCATGTTGGTCATGGCTGGCCTCTTGATCTGGTCCTGATGATATTTTCTACATTAGTTCACCACTAAATATAGAATATACATAGACAAGAAGATAAAGATGACAATTACATTTAGTCAAAAGAATAGAAAAGCCCCTCAAATTATGAAATTCATAAATATGACATTTATAGTTCATAGTTTATCATTGGTAAGGCACCACTTAACCTTTTATTATAGAGCGTATTTTAGAAGATTTTGAGAGTGGAATCATTATAACCAACTGAGAACTGCAAATCAATAGGACTGGCCAACTTGCATATCACCAATGGAGACTTGTGGTTCATTCATTTTTAAAAGGGATAAGTTTGATTATGATTGAACTCCTCTTCAGTGGAGGTTCTGATGCATATTGGCCAATATCTGATATATCATATTCAAACTCATGATACTATTTCAGTTGTAAGATACTAAATGGCTGAACATAAGAGAGGTCCATTGGTCTAGTCACTTCCTGAGATTTCACTGTACAGGCTTATGTAATCAAATATAAATAAAAGTCTGTTATCTCTTCAGCTAGCAGGCCTACCTTGGCCTTCCATTGGTAGAGCCTGATTTTGCTCAACCAACCATCTTTCAAAACCAGACATGTTCGACAACTATTTAACGTCCCTGTCTGGCTTCTCCCAACCACTTCCTATGGCTCGCATCTTGATTTCTAAAGCTAGGGCTATCTCTGACCTCATTTTGAGGACCCTTGAGGATTTTGTAGGTAAAGGACTTTTCACAGAGGAGCTTGATTGAAGTAATGCTTACACGCAAAATACAAACTTACAAAAAGGATAAGTTAAGAGAACAGTAATCCCCTTCATAAAACATTTCAAATACTTTTCTATAAAGATCAAGTTCCTCTGCGTTTAAAATACTGTTCTGTTTTTTAAAAATACGTTTACTGAAAACTTTTCCATGAACACATAAAGAGGAATCTACATTTTCTTTTTCTAGCGGAGCTAGGTACATTTAGCCCAGTTACCCAGAGTGAAAACCTGCTCATTAACAAACTTCTCATTGGCTCATCTCCATGTTTCACTTTTCCTTCTCTTTCACTGGGGCTTCCTGCAATCATCTCTTAAATAAATTACCTGCACCAAATCTTTGTGTCAGGATCTCCTTTTGGGAAGTTTGAGCTAAGATAACTTCCTCATCACAGAAGTGACAACATGGACAGCGGTGATAGCTAGGGTAGGATATCTGTCTTGCCTCTGGTCTGCTTCTTCTTTTGTTCCCCGTTTGATCTTCTTCTGCAACCCATGCCTTCCAGCCTATTGTACACTAGAGTACTTGCTTCCTTTTAATTCAACTGATCAAAAGAGATTCTTATTCTCTGTACCAGTGCTCAAAGATGGCTTTTAAAGGGCTGAGCTTTGCTGACAAATCTATAGCATCCACATGTTCATGAACTTCCATTGCTCACAACAACCCCTTTACACTCTGGCTAAGAGGTATGAGCAGTTGTAGGACTGAGGCCTGGGTTATATAAATGAGAGAATCTAAGGTCCTAAGAGGATCTTTCAATCATTTCCATCCAACTCTCTAACCTCACATGCTAGAAAACTGAGGAGCAGAGAGGATAAGTGTTCGCTTAACGCCTTGTCCATCAGAGAAGAGGAACTCAGATCTCTGACTCCTAAACCAGACTTCTCCCTTTCTGAGATTTTCCTAAACACATTCCACCATTGCTTCCTTTGCTTGAATCAATTCCCACTGTTTACCACTACTTCCATCATTTATTTCCAGGTCCTCACTGACCCTGAGCCCTTAAGTTATATTCATGCAGTCCAGTTTCACAGATTTGCTACCCTCCTTGCCTTGCCTCATACTGAGGTTAAAAAATCCTCACCAGTATTTTTGCAACAAAGAAAAGACTAGGAAATAAGTAAAGTGATGTACAGGGGGTTGTCATTGATGACTTCTTGCATAATTGAGCTCCCCTTGGGATTTCTGTCACTGGGTGAGATAACTGGTGACTGGCGCACTGTACCCTGGGAAGATGGACACATATCCCACAGCCTGCTGAACACATAAGCATCTAACCTGCCATTGGAGCTCTTGAAAGCCAAGGCTAGGCTGTTCCTTCCTTGATCTGATAGATAATCTGGCTTCTGTTTTTAACTCCACATTACCCGTGCCTCAGCTTAGTCTCCTGGTCCCACCTACCCTGGCTAGATTTATCTCTCAGGGTTCTCTGAATGAGTTATCTGACCCAGTAGGACAGTTTCCTCATTTCCAACTTCATTGTTTGCTAAGCAAGCTATCTTTTCCTCCAGGCTAAAATGCTAAATTAGCATTTATTTTCCAGATTATTATCTTGATTACCTTTTGGAGTGGGTTTGTGTTCTCAAATAGATTCTTAAGGTCAAGGGCCATGACTTAAGTCTACTTCCTGATATGTATTGCACATGACTTGTTATGGACTGAATATTTGTGTTCCCCATGTATTGAAACCCTAAGCCTCAGTGTGGCTGAATTTGGAGATGGGGCCTCTAAGGAAATAATTAAGGCTAAAATTCAAAAGGTCATAAAGGTGGGGCCCTGATAGAATAGGGTAGGTGTCCTTAGAAGATGAGATACCAGATGGCTTTTTTCCCTCCTCTCTCTATAGTGGCACTGAGGAAAACCCATGTGAGGACAATAGTGAGAAGGTGGCCACCTGCAAGCCAGGGAGACAGCTTTCACCAGAAACCAGATCAGCTAGAACATTGATCTTGGATTTTTAGCCTCCAGAACTGCAAGAAAATAAATCTCTGTTATTTAAGCCACATAGTCTATGGGATTTTATTATGGCAGTCTGAGATAACATAGAGCTTTTGATTGAGAAAATGGTCCTTAACCTTGGATCTCAAGCAGAGTTACAAGCTGGACAGGTGTCACTGGTTCTGCGTGAAAAGTTAACTAACTTCCTAGAGGGTCCAAAACAAAACCCTCCTTTGTCACCACCACTCAAGAACTCATATCCTTTCCTCTGTGCCTGACAGTATCCTCCCAAGTATGAACAAAGCTCTGGGCCACAAGCAAATCTTTTACCCCCTTGTCTACATTGACTCTGGCATCCCATCAGATGCTGAGTCTTAAGAGAGCCTACTGCCCGAAGACCTTGTATCTCCTTTCTCCAGGCCTCCAGGCCTGATTCCTCTGGCCTGTGCTTTTGAGATGGCCTCTTCATGGCTCTTCTAACGTCTAATCTTCATCTCATAGACAGAAGAGGAAACAGAGGCTCAAAATTTAAACATGTTCAAGGGTGCACAACTAATAGTAGAATTAGGTTCAAACCTAGTTCAGTTTTGCCCCAAATCTAGCCTACTTTCCACTAGGACTATTTAACGTCCTATACAGCTAGAATTTAAAATGTTCTGCCTTTAACTATAGATACTTTTGAGACTGTCTTAAACCCATTATCAAATTGTAAGTTCTTTGAGAGTATGTGGCTTCATCTTCCTTTTATCTAGGGCAATGACTAAGTCAGTGTCTTGTGCTGGGTAAGGTACTTCAAGAAAATGTCCTAAATTGAAAATTTGAACTGTCACAATGGTGACATGGGCAATAGCAGTTTAGGAGAGATTCAGAGAAAGCTTGTAGGAGAAAGAAGAGTTGGTTTCTGAGTTGAGCTTGAGGTAATAGAGAATCTGGCCAGGCAGAGAAGAAGGGGGTGGTGTGAGTTGGGCCTCAATATCATGAGTGAACCTGTGGTGGGTGCGTGGCTTGGTGGGGGAAGTAGGGACTGCATTTCTGCATTGGGTTCAGTTGTGCACACCAAGCAAGTCAATTAACTTCTTTAAACACTGGTTTCTTAATGTGTAAAGTGTGAAAAATAAGAGTACCTATCATTTGGGGTTAATGTGAAGAATAATGAGATAGGGGCGCCTGGGCGGCTCAGTTGGTTAAGCCTCTGCCTTCGGCTCAGGTCCTTATTCTGGGGTCCTAGGATCGAGCCCCACCTTGGACTCTCTGCTCAGCGGGGAAACTGCTTCTCACTCTCTCTCTACCTGCCTATCTGCCTAGTTGTGATCTCTCTCGAATAAATAAATAAAATCTTAAAAAAAAAAGAATAATGAGATAATGTACATAAAGAACTTAGCACGTTGTTTGGACCTAATATGTGTTATCTATTATTAATAATAAATACTATTAAAATACTATTAGTAGTAATATGGTCTGAAGTTTCAAATGCTCAACAATCTAGCTCTTTGAGTAAATAATTTACGCCACAGATAATGCCATTGCTGTAACTACATTAAAAAACAAAATCGTTTAAAAGTACTATTAAATTCATAACAACATGTTGGTTACTATGATTTTCCTAATCAAAGGATTCCAGGATTCCCTTAAGAGGGATTCTCATAGTTGAAAATCTTGAAAACCAAACTGTTGAGAGGCAGGAGACTGCTAAACATATTCTGGGTAAAAGACTAACTTGGCTGAATCAGAGTCTTGGATTTTCGGAGTAGGCTGACCTATTGAGAATCCCTGTTCTACTTCCAGGCTGTGCTTTTAAGGCCTTTAGGCACATTCCTTATCTTCCAGTACTTTGGTTTCCTTATCCTTAAAATGTGGGAACTAATACACAAGGGCCACAAGACAGGTTAAACTGGGTACTGTACATAAAGAAGAACTGGTAGATGATAATGACGGTGATGTTTGTGAAGCCTAATTGTGAAGAGCCTTAGATTTTCATCCTGTAAGGCTCTTGCTCTCCAAGTGTGATCCTTTTAACAGCAACCTTACCCATCATCTGACAACTTGTTAGAAATGCATATTCTCAGGCCTTTCCAAAGTTGCTGGCAGAAGCCTGTTCGTTGATCCTTAATGATCTCTAGGCACAAAACGGAGGGGCTAGCGCGTAGGGCTCCAAACACAGTGCTCACCTACTGAGTGAGGTAAGAAAGGCAGCGCAAGGCAATTACAGGTGCTGGTTTGGGTACTGTTTCCAAGAAAACCTTGGGACCCGGCGGCCAGGTGGTGCTCAACAAATTCCTCACCTACAAGCCTGTCACAAACGTAGCCTGCAAGATAGAAAAAGAAAACCGTGTAGGGAAACCGGAAATGAGGGTCTTAGGGGTACAGAATCTGGTAGTGGAGGAAAGGGATGGGATACGCGGGGGTGAGGAGAAAGGGAGGCCCTTCGTCGCTGGGGGTGGCTACACCCCATCCGCGTCCCTTTAGAGCCCGGGCGCGGTCGGCAGGCGGGGCGGGACGCAGCCCCTCCCGGAGACAAGGGTCCCTCTGCCTCCATGCGTTTGCGGCCAGTGTCCAGGTCACTTCTGCTCCCTTTATTGTTAGTGAGAGATGGGGCGTTTCCTCACCCTCGGCACCTCACCGGGGACGCCCCGGTCCGTCTCATCCCTGCTCTGGCCCTCCCGCGAGCGCCCCGTCGGCCGGCCGCCGCATCCCGGCCGCGGTTCGCCGTGCCCGCCGGCCGGCCATTGTTCGGGCCCCACCCCTGCTGAATATTCACGCTGCACGGGCTGCTCGCCCCGCGCCCTCCCCAGCTGGGCTCGGTTTGGGAGTGCGTTTCCGCTCGTTTTTCCTGCCGGGGAAGGAGAGGGGGAGCTGTTTTCTCTCTCCTCAGAATATATTTTCGGTGTCCCGTTTCTCCTCCCTCGCCGCAGCCGCCGCCGCCGCCGCCGCCGCCCCCCCTCCCTCCCCGCCTCCCTCTCCGCCTCCGCCCCCGCCTCCCGGGTTATCTTTGTCTCGCTGCCTCGCGCTCACTCGCTCAACTCTCGGCGGCGCCGCGGCCCCAAGCTCCGGGCCCGTCCTCCAGGCGCGCGGCGCGGGGCGCGGGCGCCGGGGCCTGAGGCGGCGGGCGACGCCCGGGGGCCTGACGGCCGCCCCGCGCCATGGTGTGAGCGCCGCCGCCGCCGCTCCGCGCACGCTCCGTCCGCTTTCCGCGCGCGGCCCGGGCCGGCCGAGAGCAGCGACCAGCCCGCCGCCGCCGCCGCCCCCGGCCTCGCGAGGCGGAGCCCCGGCCGCCCGCTCCCTTGTGAGGAGAAGCCGTCGGCGGCCTGGCCTGTGAAGGAAATAAATAGAGAAACAGATATATTTATTGGTACTATTTTGTTTGGTGGCAAAAAGGGAAAATGGCGAACGACTCCCCTGCAAAAAGTCTGGTGGACATCGACCTCTCCTCCCTGCGGGTGAGTGGCCACGACGGGCCCCGCCGCGGGCGCGCCGGGAGCGGGGAGCCGGGGCCGCGCCCTGGCCCGCCGGGCGCTCGGGCGCTGCCGCGGGCAGAGCCTCGGGCGCGGCGGCCCCTTTGTCTGCCTGCGTCGGCGTGTGCGGGGCGGCGGGGCGCGACCCTCCGCCGACTCCCCCACCCCGCCGCGCCCCGCGCCCCCCGAGCCCCGGGCGCGGCCTTCGGGCGCTGGGGGACCGCGCGAGACGAAGCCAGCCCCGTTTGCAGTCGCCTTTTCTCTCCAACTGCCCCTCTGTATTTATTCATTGTTGTGCTGCTTTTAAATTCTAACCCCTCCCCTCCTCTTCTCTAGGATCCTGCTGGGATTTTTGAGCTGGTGGAAGTGGTTGGAAATGGCACCTATGGACAAGTCTATAAGGTCGGTGTGAGCCGCCGTCTTTGTTTCCCGTGGCACGTTGAAACTTCTTGTTGGGGGCCGAGGAGAAGGGTGATAAACACGCTGCTGACTGGAGGCCACGCCGCTTGGCCAAAGTTGGGAAAGGGGTTTCGCCTTGTAGTCCCTCTGTTTTTAAACAGGAGTTTATATGCAGGCTGGCCTTAGAAGACCTCACTCATTTCCTGTCCTTGAGATAAGGCAATAAGCTACATTCTTTGGCGTGCACTTTCTTTAAGTAAAATGGGAAAACATTTTTTCATAAGGCAACCTTAATTCTTTCGTTTTCCCCAATTCCGGCCTTCTGAGTTTGTGTGTGTTAATTAAAATTCAGTATAGACAGGCCTGGCCTGTGATTATGCCAAACCACTGTCTTGGTCTTCTTGAAAATGGTCATCGCGTTGCTTCGTTTTAATGTTTGCCAGGTGCTCAAGGTGAGGAGTTCGGTGTTACCTGGGACTGCTTCCTAACTATCATACATGCTGCTGATGGATACGTACATATTTTGGGGAAGCAGGGAGGGGTGTGTGTTTGGGCAGCAGGAGCAGGAAGAATTACAGCATGAGGATTATAAAATCTGAATTCCAGGAATAACCTGTTTGACAGGTGTGTAATTGAAACAGAGATGAGGGAGAGCAAGGAGTCAAGAGGATGCCCAGATTTCACACCCACCCCAGGCCTGTCTCTTTTTTAACACACCCCCCCCCCACACACACACCGGTAAATGAAACTAACAAATCTGGAGACTATGAGTCTGCTCTGAGTAGCTGACACCTGATGTGACTAACAGTGCTGTTCATTCTACTCAGAGCACGTTCTAGATATTCTGAAAGAGCTGTAGGTAATGGAGGCGCAGGCCTTGAAGATTTGAAACGGAATGTTAAATTTCCCGTGTCCTGATTTATTTCTTATTGCTGAACGCTTTCTAAAAGTAATCTTCACTGGGGGTGTTTTCTGGCTGTTCGAATGGGTACAAGGAGCTAGAAAAAAAAATGTTATGAAGCAGGGCTTTGTGGTTCACCATGAATTGTCATTGTCTCATTAAAAACGGAGGGAGGGGGTTGGAAACTGACCGTAGACATTTTCTTAGGCCAAATTAAGTGCGGATCCTATTGTCTCTTTTATGCTTAATGAATAGGGTTTATCTGTCCCTTGAACGCCTCTCTCCCCAGCCCCAACTTCCCCTTGCCTGGGCTGTGTACTGGGCAGTGTACCGGCCTGCGGTCGGAACTTGAGTCAGTATTCTTAGGTGATCTCAAGTGAATTAGCATGTGTTTTGTTGGTTAACTGTTGGGGCTGTGGCCAGATTTTTGAATTTGAAAGGAAGCCCTGTTAACTCAGCCTGCTGGGCTCGACAGAATTTGGAAGCCTTTGGAAAATTTTGGAAAAGATTGTGTTGCAACTCACTGAGTGGCCTGGTAACTGGCTCTAAGATATTCTCCTCAGCCCCAATGTTTGTTTAAGCCCCAGTCGGTTTTTTTCTAACCCAGTTTTTCTGGCCAGATCTAAGTGGTGAGTGTACTCTCCAAGTGAGTTAGCCAAAGCTTGTTTTTGACCTGGTTACACAGTAGTTGGATTGTTTCTATCTTCCTCTGTTGGCATGGATGGATGGGAAGGGGAGTGAAGTGAACTAGAATCCAACAGTCCATTTTTAAACCTTAAGAAAAAGGAAAGAATGAAACCTGAATGAGCTTTAAGTGGCTTTAAGAGGTGGGAGTTCGTTATGGTAACAGTTTAGGCAGGATCATTGTTAAATTTTTCCCCCTCTTCATTTCCTTTGGTTCCATCCTCTCCTTCCCCCAAGCTTTTGAAATAGATTTGCTGAGCGGTACAGTTGGGAAGCATTTGGGATACTGGCAGTGACACAGCTCTCTGACTACAAAGTCTGTACAGTTGAGAAGAAATTCTCAAATTATGCAAACCTAACAAATTAAGAAATCTGTGCAAATGTGGCATACACACACAAAATAGTGCCTGAGATTTTGCTCACCAGCAGTTCTATTTTATTCGGAAAGATCAAGCATATACAAGGAGAGAGAGAGGGTAGATCTCCTAATTTAACAGTTAGTCAGAACATGACTGATCTGGTTTCATCTATAGCCTTTCTCCATTAGTATTTTAAGGTTAAAGCCTAGATACAATTTTACCCATAAATACTTCAGTTTGTATCATTTTTGTTTTTTAGATAATCACAGTGCCATTCTGACCCCTAAAAAGTTAATTCCATAGCATCAAATATTAAGTCTTCAGGTTTTCCTAATTTTTCATAGACGCGTTCTTACTATCAACGATATTTATGAACGGATACTGGGAAGTTCAGTCTTGGTAGTTGGTAGAAATAGGAGAAGCAGTTAATATCTGCATTTGCATCTTCCTTTCAATATCTAATTTCTAAAATGATTTATATTATGCAGAGGAGTTTATTTGGGATTTGTTAGTGTGATTTGCTTGTGGTGGTTTTGGGATTAGATTATTAATACTAGTATTTGTTTATTACTAAACATCCACTAGTGTGAATAGCATCTGAGTTGGGAAAATATTTGTGATAACTTGTTTATAAAGAAGCTTTTTTTCTTAATGTAAATTCAGGTAAAATAATTTCAAGCTGAATAACCTGTAGCCCTAATTTGATTCATTGTTATATCTTTTATTTTCTGTGTTTTCCTATAAACTTTTTATTTTTTAGTGATTGTGGTGGCTTATTTTGAGAATGCTGTATTTCTGTGAGGCAAATGAGTAAAAAGAGGGAGTTTTCTGGGTTTTGTTATGTTTTATGAAAGTGGCCTTTTTGGGGGTGGTTTATAATTTTCTCTGTGACAAAATTGGTAAATCATCTGGGTATAGTTGAACAGTATATAACTATCTGAAAAAATAGTTGAAGCACAGAGTATGTCCTATTTAGGGAAATTTATTTTTTGCATTAGGTTTCTGAGCGATCACTGGGGAGGATACTCATAAATCAAAACTTAAGAAAAATATTGTGAATTTCAGTTTACAGGGTTTCATGCAGAATACCATCTGTTTATAAAAAAGTGTTTATAAGATGATCTTGTGCATGTTAAGTATATTTTAATTATTTTCATCAAAGGGGGACAGTGACTATTTAAAAAACAAAACCACAAAAAATAAGTTTTGTTTTTGTGTTATACTGAGTTTTATTATTTTTAATATTTACTTGACCGTTTTTGTTTTTCCTTGGAGTTACGGTTACCCTGTTATTTTGTATTTTGTGAGCATACAGTGACGTGTTCTAAATGTCTTGACTAGGAGAAGGAAAATCCTACATCTGGAAAGGTACTGCAGGTAGTGAGAGGGGAAGTTAGGGAGTTTAGAATCAGCAGGTGCAGTGTCTGGGATGAGGTCTTGCTCAGAGGAATGATGGCAGCCTTTTTGGAGGGTTGAGCATCTTGACCTTGTCTGATCTTGTCTCTGGAGGAAAGGTAGGCTGTAAACCTTGGAAGTTGAGGAGGAGAGTATTCTGGGCCCAAAGATGGTAACCAGAAGCAACACTGAGAGTTTACTGCTGTTTAGCCATTTAGGGCATGGTGCTAAGGCTGTTCCCCTCATTTACTGAAGAAAAGGGGGAGAGGTATGTGTGACAAAGGCTGAGGGTGACCTTTTTGGGAATGACAGTAGGAGTAAGGAGTAGTGGGCATCTTGGGAGAGATTATTTGCTCATGAGTTAAGGAGGGCTGTCATTCTATGAGCATTGAGAGGTCATTGAAAATTTTGTTGGGTTTGGAGACCCCTGGGAGTAAGAAACTTGATTAGATGATATTAGGGAAAGGAACAGGTAAGATGGTTGGCCTAGGACAATGGTCCAGAAGAGAAGAATGTAAAGGCTGGGACAGGGTAGTAGCAGTGGCAGTAGAGAGGAAGAGTGTTGGGCCGGATTCTTGGGCATTCTGCCTTGGCCTAGGTCAACCTGCTGAAATCAGTCATTCTCTGCAGGTTTTGGTGTGGCCCTTTAAATGGGTACACTGTTTGCCCACTGGATTAGGAGGAGCCTTGGGATCTGTGAAAGTGCTAAAATTACTTTCGATTGCTCAGCAATAAAGTGCTGTATAAATTGTGTGGCTTTTCAAAATCATTAGTGTAGCATTTTGGATCAAACACTTAAAACTTTTGTGAGGGTCTTCTCTAAATGTTATCCCTTAAGTGTAGGATCTCTTTTTAACTGGAGGTAAAGACATCCAGTGGGGCAAAATGCATTTTGAGGAACTAAATGTTTTCATTAGAAGGAGGATTGAATTGCCACTGAGTGGCGTGTACAGACTTGTTCTGAAACAGGTCTTCTTCATGCTGGAAGAATTCTGGACTTGGGTAAGGTGGGAGGAAGCCAACCCCCTTGAACATGTATTGGTGTGTAGCTCTCCTAAAAGTTATCAGCCCCAAATTTCCAAAACTTTTCTATTAAATAAAATCACAAAATAAAAGCTTAACAGCAAATTCAGCCACCAGGTAAAATCCTACTCATGGTGGTTTTAGAATTTCTTATTGCTTGAAACTTTTTAAATAAATGTTCATTTGCATATCTGCAAACTTGTAGTTTGGCCTTTTTTTCTTAACCAGTTTTGGATATATGTATATTTCTACATATTGAGATAATCCAAAAGTATTATCTGTGGGCACTTTTGGTGCAGTGTGTGTGTTTATAGATTTTGTGGGCTGAGACTAGCAGGACAAAGACTTTGAAATAATGCATCCCTGAACAGGTGTTCTAATAAGCCAAGGAATAATCATCTAAGGAGTTTTATTCCCAGGGAACTAAAGATACTATAAACTGGAGATGGATGCTTTAACATTAATTTCATCCATGGTCTTTTATTTTGTTTCTTTATTAGTAAATACTTGGTCATCTGGTTTTGGTCATCTGGTTGTGAACAGCTGCTTAAGCCAAGAGATTACCTGCTCTTTAGGGCATCAGATGTTTTCCATCTCTTGAGTTGTTTTAAGTTTATGATGCCTGTGCTTCTCATCATTAG